TGAATGAATGGACGGACGGACGGACGGACGGACGGACGGACGGACGGACGGACGGATGAATGGATGGACGGACGGACGGACGGACGGACGGACGGACGGACGGATGGATGGATGGATGGATGGATGGACGGACGGACGGACGGACGGACGGACGGATGGATGGATGGATGGATGGATTGACCCATGAAACCCATCACAATCTGTCGTACAGACTGATAAAACGCACGATTGAAGAGTGATGTAAATTATAAAATCCGCACCCACAATGAAAGTCTGAGTACGAAAATGCAGTATAGTGCGAACCTAATCATGAAATGTCCAACATCCCACTCCGGCGATGATTAAAGGTTGCTCGCCGGTGCTCCCAAATCTTCCTCGGAGTTCTACACGGGAGAGCATAGTGTAGAGAACCCAGGAGCGCTATTCAAATGCCCCATTACGCAAACCAATGCTCCGTGTGAGGAGATCAAGGTGACTGACAGAGGTGGGTAGACTAAAGTAAAATGCTTGTGGAATCGTCGCGTTTATTATAGAAGGTCTGACCATTGCAAGCTGCGGCGATATTTCTAACGCAAGGTTCACCGCTAGATTCTGTCAACATTTGCCGACGTGGCTACAAATTTAAGACATTTAAGATATTAATTGCTTCCTCATGAAGGAGAGTAATGACCTTGAGATGTTTGATAAAATCTGCAAGGAGACGATCGAGATATTTAAGGGTGCTTTTTAAATAATTGAATAATTTCATCGGATCTCTATAGTTCACATAAAAATAAAGTTGCTCTTAGTTAGATCCATAATAAGTTACAATTACTCAAGTAATTATAACTCATTATGGATCTAACTAAGATCAACTTTATTTTTATGTTTTTTAAATAGTTATACCGATTAAACAAACCCATAAAGCCACCGTAGAGTCTTTTCGATGCTGAGGAACGTTCGCGTGATATCTTTGCAGGTAACATATGCGTGTACTCCTATCCCAATGGATATCTTCCGAATCCATCCTCGTGCACTGCATCTGACAGTAAACTCGGCGGATTGTGGCACGACAAAAATCATCAGTGGTTTGGTGCCACCATGGATGTACAGGATCGGGGAGGTCCGGGGAGCGTCATAGTACGTGAAATAAATTCTTTAGCGTATATATTTCTTACAACCTTACAATCCTACAATCAATCATACAATCCTACAATCTTATATGAGATTTTATTTTATACGTTGAGCCAGAGACAGATGTCTATATCATATTATTCTTTATATGTGTTCAATGATTTTTTTAGCGTGTTTCTCGTACTGCGTGAGACCATTTAAGTGCATTGAGCACGAGCGAAAAACTAGTCGAATTCTCGTGAGCACGTGTATCACAACTGATGAGATTGTATCCCCATAGGCTTGTGCGCCGCATTGGCAGAACCAGTACTACGGAAGGGATTGTACACAGCTAGAAACATGTAACAATTATATGAATGGCTATTGCTGGGAACTGAACAACGATCTCAAGCAAGTGAGAGAGCTCTACCCTCTCGCAGGTACGCATATGGTGATCATCGATGAAGTGAATGTGCGATGAGTGGGGGCATTAGATTGTCCTGCGATATACTTTTCAGGGGTTCGTTTTCCTCCCATGAATTGTCTCAAAATTGACCCTCGTCCTGGTTTCCTCGGTATTTCAAATCGAAAGGTTTTGGCGAAAGCGCCAAATATCGTTTTTTGTAATTTTCAAATTTTTTTGCAGGTAAACCGACCTACCAGTTGGCGAGTGGAGCTTGGTATTACGGAGTAGGAATGGCGGGATGGTCGGTACACTACCCACCCGTAAGTACATGGAAGCATGTTTGCGCTTGATAAGTACGCGATAGTAGCATGATGTGTGACGGAAACCGGCCGTCGCAACTATGTGTTATGCGAATATGTGTGTAATGTGTATTGGGAAGCTGATGTTTTCCAGAAATATGAAGTTAAACAACGCTATTCAACTGATGATGTGTCTTGCACACTAACAGAAATAGACAAAAATAGACCAAAACAGTCGCATTGTTTCACCAGGTTGCAAAAGCGCTAATTTTTACAATGTATGATTATTGCTGAGAATTATCGTTGATGTTTCTTTAGGATGGAAACGTGAACGACCAGCTTCTGATAGGTGCACCTGGAGTGTGGGAGTTTTCAGGTATGGTGCTTGTCTATAAAATTATTTGTAATAGCATTCCAGATACCCTATTATCCCGAGTGTCATAATGTATAGTCTATATCATGATACTCCTGCTATTATTACTGTGGAAAAATCTGGTTCGAAATTTAATTCGTTAATTCCGCCTCCTTCCAAGCTATTTGCTATATTGCACGAGCATTGCTCCTAACTCGGTCGCGTACATATCAAACCTGTAACCATGGCAACCCCTTGCAGGTTCCGTGATTGACTACGACGGAACGCGGACGGTGTCGCCGTCTAACCGCGATCGCATTCCGCTAAACCTGCTGCCAAGCCGGGATCTATCCCTCATCGGCTACTCAATCAGTTCCGGCGTGTTCTTCCCGTCAGGAAACCGCCTGGTAGTAGCGGGAGCGCCGCGGTTCACAGAAGACGAGCGGCTTCGAGGAATGGTAATGGCTCCGCTAGAAAGTCACATAGCAGACGCCACTGGCAGTACTATCGAGAGCTAATGATACCTAATATTAGATATATAAGATATAGGCTACCTAATGGGTATTATTATAGCTCTTGATACTATGTATGTGTGTGCGGGCGTCCGCGTGTGTACGCACACACACACACATACATAAATAGTCGATCCAATGTATAGCTATACTTGAATGTGCAGAAAGATACCTATTTCGTACCTATGCCTACCTACCATTGGAGCTAATCAATGGTTGGTAGATTATAATTAGAGAGAATATAGAAGATATAGGTATGGGTAGATTATAGGTAGATCTTAGAAAGAGTAGGGTTATAATTGCCTACCTTCAATCTCGACTTTCGGGTATCTGATTGGTCGGCGATGGAACACGTGACAATCTCACGTGCTGCTCTCGTTCTGCGCTATTATATGTAGGTTATTATATTATTATATTATCCTATTATTATTATCTATGCTTATATATATATATATATATATATTATGCTATTATTATATGTAGGTTATAATCTACGAGGGAGACTTCGTCGTCAAGATTATGAAGAATGGCACGAAGATGGGAGAGTACTACGGTGCTGCCGTCGCTGCCATCGACATTAACAATGATGGACTCTCCGATCTGTTGGTGGGCGGGCCTTACTACTACGACGACGACAGGACAGAGAACGGCCGGGTGTACGTCTACATGAACCAGGTTCGTTCACACTCAGATAATAGTATAGAAAGTAGTATAATAGTATCGGATAGCGCGTATAATTGGATTCAATCGCAGCAATCTGGAGGGGTTAAATTCTCAAATTACATGATTACATACAAATACAAATACAAATTACATGAACCTGGGGGCCGTTGTCAGAAACATCGTAAAGATAATGCTAATGTTAATGACTAGGTTTGCTCGCACTTAGATTGCGCGTATAAGTAGTGTAAGGTGTATTCAATCGGGGGCAATCTGGAGAGGTTAAATTCTTAAATTCAGAAAGGGCGAATGAGTATTTCATCAACTGGATCCAATTCTGTATCTTAGTAATACACTCACCAAGAGTTTACAAACACCAGGCGATTTCACTATTGTAAAATGCAGGGAAAAAAATAAATGTTTTCTTGTTTATTTTCTTACAAACGATGAAGTGAGGGTGCACGCGTGTATGCGTGAATGTGCGCGGCATTACAGAAGCATCTGCGTCCGTAACACGAACCGATGAGAAACTCTTTCCGAAAAAAAATAAGAGAAAAAATCGTGGGTCTATGTCATCTGTGCAGGGGAGCGGTATGGATCCTCTCGTGGAACAGGATGAAAAGCTGGAAGGAAGGGGCGTCTCCTACGCGAGATTCGGCACGGTGATCACAGATGTGGGAGACCTGGATCTGGATGGATACAAGGACGTCGCTATCGGGGCACCGAATGAAGACGGCGGAGCGGTAGGTAGTCCGGGGACGCGTGACGTAGTCGGTCGGGGATTTCACTACAGCTGAAATGAATTTTTATAATTTCGCATGTAGATTCGGCCTCTCTCTCTCTCTCTCTCCCTGGCCCATAATTACAAAACAAAGTGTGCTGTAGCATCCTAGTTTAGTGTATATAAAAGGGAGAAGACTGTTGAATACCGATTTTACTCACTCACAAGCTGAATGCACACTAACTGTTGCGCTGATGATTATATCATTCTGATATATATATATTGCGCCTAACGAGATTAATTGGAGAAATAATAAATCTAGATACTTAGCAACGCAGAGGGGCGAGAAGCTTTCTAATTACGTACTCGCTAAATGTTCAACTTTGAGCTGCTCAAGGGAATGCGTGCATGGAAACGTTAAATCGTCAATGACTCAGGTTTTGACGTACTGACGTATTTAATCAGGAATATTAAATATCACCAGAAGTTAATAATGACAAATGTCATTATTGTCATTATAAACATGTACATAAAAATTACATATTAAAATAACATATTAAACATACAGACAATTAAACATTATACAATACATATTAAAATAACATTCGTTACCTGTCATTATTAACCACTGATATCATGAACCCCTGATCATCTCTAAGGAGCTCTGTACATCTGCACATGGAAACGTTATTCAATGACGTCAAAAAATGCGTCAACGACTCAGGTTTTGACGTACTAAAGTATTTAGTCAGGAATATTAAACATCATGTGTATTCTACTCTCCAATCTTCTACTAATCTTCTCTAGGGAGCTCTGTACATCTATAGAGGTCATCGTGAAGGTGTTCATCCGGAGTTTTCGCAGCGCATCGCCGCAGCCGACATTGACCCGAACCTGCGCGGGTTCGGCTGGAGCATCTCCAAAAGTCTGGACCTCGACAACAACAACTATCCAGGTAAGGTCCTGGCATTTCCACAGTTTTTCTTGTCCTCGTGATACGCTGTGTGTAATTTACTGCGTGGAGCATATGCGTTTCTATATTACACGTAATGTGCCCGTGTGTGTGTGTTTGTGTGTGTGTGTGTGTGTGTGTGTGTGTGTGTGTGTGT